TCTTTCTTTCTTTCTTTCTTTCTTTCTTTCTTTCTTTCTTTCTTTCTCCCTCTTTCTTTCTCTTTCTCTCTGTCTCTTAAGTTCTTTTTTTTTTTTTTTTAAAGCAAACCAAGAAATAGTGGAGGCCAGAAAAGGAGGTGGGCTGAAGTTGAAGTGAGATGCTAGATGTTCCTATCTCACTTCTCTGGCAATACCAGAGATAAATTCCAAGTATATATCTCTGATATAAGTATGCTTATTTTTAAATTGTCCAGATGACCTAGTGGGTAAAGGAACTCATTCCAGACCTGACTAGTACAGAGAGAGGAGCAACTCCAGCAATTTAATGTGTCCTCTGGTCTTTGCTCATGTACATGAATAAATAAAAGTGACATTTTAAAACATTATGCATAGGACTATTGTATTTACAGATTATATGAATGATATCAAAAGTACTTAGAAATAAATTTGAAACTATGTTGTGGCAATGAAAACACATTTTGAGCTGTCTCAAAAACACTGTATGAGATACGTATCAACTTCTTAATACTAATAGCTTTATTGCTGGGCTCTTAAACACCCAGCTCAAGATGCTGGCTTCAGTGTGTATAGTAAATGTTAATAACTCTGGGCTGTTTTCTTACTCTCTAGAAACATAGGAGATGTCCCACTCTCACCATCATTCCAATGGACCTAGCATGCATGCTCCCTTGAACAGAGAGCACGTTTGGTTTATTTGATTATTTGTTCTTTTTTTAGGGGCTTTTACATACTGAGCAAGCATCACACCTAATGACCCATTGTTTTGGTCTTGTTTTTAGTTTTTATTTATTTTATTTTTATTAAACTATCCAAGCCAGCCTTGAACTTACTGTATAGCCGAGGTAGGCCTTGAGGTTGTGAGCTTCCTGCCTTAGTCCCAAACAGCTTAAATTATAGGCCTATCCCATCCATCCAGGACTGGTTAAAACAAGTTTTTATAAGACATTGCAATAACCCAAATGAGAAGTAGCTAGTATGCAAATTGAAGTCAGGATGTGAAAAGTGGAAAAGGAGTTAATGTGCTGGAGAAATGTAAGGAGATCAAATGAACAGGACTTGCAGTCTTCCAGCTAGAAGAAGGGAACTTGGTGATTGTGATGGTGTTGGTGAGCAGCCAATACATATAGCCACAGACAAGACTCCAATTCCAATGATTTGTTTCAATTGAGATGTGTGATAGCAGAAATGCACTCTAAATTTCAAAACTTTAAAAAGAATTGAAAAAGACCTCGTTAACATTTAAATACTTATAAAGAAATGACACTTTGCATAAATTAGGTTAAAGGAAATCGATTTCTCATTAACTTGTCTGTTTTGTTTTACAGTTTGATGTGGCTACTAGAAGAGAAGGGAATTTGATTATGGTGTTTCAGAATGGCTCTGAAATGCCTGCCCCCGCCATCTTTCTGGGCCAACCATTGTAAAAGTCAGAAAGAACAGAAGGGAACCAACTTTTAGAAAGTGGTAGAGTTGGTGGGTTCAGTCAAGACCACGTTGACTATGAGGTACTTGCAGGAGACACATACAGAGATGAGCGTTTAGAGAGAAGGAGAAGAGTTAAGGCTGAGCCTACAGACTCACAAGTCCTCAATTAACATGTCAGAAACAGTTAACTTCAGTGGTTCTGTACAGAATTTTGTGGGAACACCAACATTTAAAAGGTGACCGTCCAAGGCTAGAAACAGAAACAGAGGTCAAAAGGTCATAGAAGTCAAGAAAAACAGAATCTCAAACTTATCAAGTTCCTTATAAATCGGACATTGAAGTCCAGTGTTTGGATTTTAGCCAATTTCAGTGTGGTGGTGGGGTGAGGGACAAGAGCTCACTGAGATGAAAAGAACAAAGATAAAAATGGACAAAAGAACTGTAGAGAGATCTCCCCGGGGGAGTTAAAACCAGCACAGGGCATGGGTTCAAGGGAATGGGAGAGGGTGGAGGTTTTTTTTTTTTTGTTTTTTTTTTTTGTTTTTTGCTTTCCACATAGGCAACTATTTAAGAGAAAATAATTAGCAGAGAGTAAGGGGTTGATGGTACTAGAAAGATGTAAATAGCAAGGAAGATGGGAGTGGGGGAGAGGAGGAATTGGGGAAGGGCTGCCTTACTTTGTGAGACTGGGGAGACAGTCCTCCAAATCCAGGAAGGTTATATTTTATCTTTTCCTCCATTGAAAAAGAGTCTAGGCAG